GAAGTTTCTTGTTTAAAGATGGGCCATATTAAGGCATGTTTTTATGCTGATGCGAATGATCCAGTGGAAAGGGAAAAGAAATAATGAATGAGGAAGGAAAGGGAATAGTAACAGTAAAGTTTTTAAAGGAATGAAAGGGTTTGGATATTCTGTCCATATATGGAGAGGTATTAGCCTCAGAAAAAAGGGACAATTCATCCACTGTAATGGGAAGGAAGACAAGTGTTTTGGCACAACACAGGTAGGTGTTATGAATTCAATGGAGGGAGAAGATACTTTTCATATTATTGCATTTATTTCCCCTACATTTAGAACATTAACTATGCAACAAGAATCCCAAAATATCTTCTGTCTACAGTTTCATGTATACTTTCAAGTACACCACGTATTTTACTATGTAACATCAAAAACTAATCAGGTACAGTGCTAGCAAAAAGTACATGAGATTGGTATTCTCAATCACTACTGGAGTGGACATAAATTGGAGTAACCTCTTCTTGGAAGGAAGACTGGGCAATCTACTTCCGTAGAAGTATCACCTTGGAAACCCAAGGAGGGACTGCTATGAGTTGGGACCGACTCCACGGCAGTGAGTTTTCTTGTGAGCATTTTGACAATATGTCTTCCCAACTGCCTGTTTCTAAAAAAACCTTAAGTTTGACCTAGTAAAATTTCATTTTTAAGAATATGTTGTTGTTGTTAATATAGCCTAAGGAAATAATTACAGGAGGTGTGTGGTGGGATCAGAAACGGGAGGGATAAATATTATTCTTTAGGAAAAAAGAAAGATTTTGAGAACTGAGAAATAGTTTAAAGTTACGGCATATTTATACAAAGGTTTATGGACCTATAATTTTTTTTTTTTACAGTTATTGATGACATAGAAAAATGCTCACAATATAAGGCTACAAAGGGCTAAGTGACAATAGGCTATAAAACTGATGAAATACTATGATATCAATTACAATACCCACAAGAATAACACCAAATACATACAGCATCTTTACATGTATTTTTTTTTAACAATGACTGTTTCTGGGTGATAGGATTACTGCTGATTTATTTGGTCCTTAATATCCCCCAGTAACTTCTAATTCTTCTATAACATCAGTGATAGGGACTGACTTGACCACAAAATTTAGTTGAAGTCCTAACCCTGGATAACTGTGACCGTGAACTATTTGAAAATAGGGTCTTTCATACTGGAGTAGGGTGGGTCTTAATCCAATTAGAGTGTGTCTTTATAAAAGAGAAGAGCATGTGAAGATGGAGGCTGAGAGTTGAACTTCAGGATCCTGGGCCATAACCAGACGCCATGAGAAAGGCATGACTCCTTTTTATGATTTTTATCCCTTTACTGATATTCTCACATTGTTCACACATTATTCTCCTGATTTCCTTTAGTTCTTTGTCCATATTTTCCTTTAGCTCTTTAAGAATATTTAATATAACTGCTTTAAAATCTTTATCTAGTAAAACCTATGTCTGGGCCTCCTCAATGATGGTGTTAAGAATTGAAATGAATCTCCAAAAAAAAGTAAGTCACAGTCCTAATTCCTGGTACCTGTGAATATGACCTTGTTTCAAAATTGGTTCTTTGAAGACATTATCAATTAGATTAATATTTATTGACAGAATAGACAGAGTGGGTCTTAATCTGAGTGGTATCCTATAAAAGAAAGGGACATACAGAGGAAAAAAAAGGTCTTGTAAAAATGTAACTACATTCCAAGGAGACTTAGGGCTACCAGAAGCTGAGAGAGGCAAGAAAGGATTTTCCCCTAATGCCTTCAGAGAGAACATGGCCCTGCTGACACCCTGAACTTGGATCACTAGCCTCCAGAACTGCAAGACAATACATTTCTGTTGTTTAAATCCACACACATTAGTGGTATTTTGCTATGTGTTTGTCTGTTACGTTATGTGCTGTCGAGTCGGACCCGACTCATAGCGACCCTCCTTGGGTTTCCGAGGCAGTATTACTACTGAGGTAGATTGCCCCATCTTCCTTCCGAGGAGTGGCTGATGGGTTTGAACTGCCAGCCTTCTGGTTAGCAGTCAAATGCCTTAGGCACTACGCTACCGAAGCTCCTATTTTGGTATAGGCAGCCCTAATAAACACAGTTTGCGTTGTTTTGAAAGTTAAAAAATAGTAACAGATTATCTTATAAAATAGTATCAATAATGGCAGACCGCATCAATCAGAATTCAGTTCTTACCCTGTCTCAGGAGTGACAAAAATAGAGATATTTGCCTACAGTGAAAGTGATCCTTTACCTGCTCTGTACCATTCGCCAGTCTATCTGACTTTCTCTTTTCCTTTCATACCTTTTATAAACATGAATTAGGTACAAGAAATTTGAAGCTTTCTTGAATCACAAATACCAGACAACCTACCCTCTATATACCAATTCTAAGTGGGCAGCCCACATGACAAAATTATCCATCCATGGAGAAACAAGGTTGTGGTTAACCTAATCCATCAGAAAACAGTACAGGGTGGCTAACATAGGCAAATATATAATAAATGGTTTATTGGTATCATATTACAATCCATGAAAAAAGAATATCTGCATGTTTCCAGACTATAGGACATATGCATGAAAATACAGTGGAAAAGTTAATAATTTTTGGAACTGAACCTGGACCTCCTGCCAATGTCTTTTCTGGCTCCATGGTTTGCTCTAAATTGGTCCCTTTAATGAGCCTATCAAAGGCAAGGTTCAGTGTTCAGGGATCCTGAAATGTTAGAAGGTTCCCATTAATAATCAAAGCCCTAAAGATGTCTCACCAAGCACTTCTTTTGCACATAGTATAGTAACTCTTGAGCTGAAATACTGATTCTAGTCATCTTTTTTGTGGGGGGGGGAGCTCTGGTAGCGTAGTGCCTAAGGCACCTGACTGCTAACCAGAAGGCTGGTGGTTCAAACCCACCAGCCACTCTTCAGAAGGAAGGTTGGGCAATCAACTTCCATAGTGATACTGCCTTGGAAACCCAAGGAGGGGTCGCTATGAGTCGGATCCGACTCGATGGCATGTAACAACAACAAAGCATCTTTTTACTCTTGCCAGCAATAAAGATGTGGGATAAGACTATTTTGTCCTTGCAACTGGCAACAGAAGTTTTAGATTTAAATCAGCTTTCTAAAATACTGTTTATTTCCTCAAACCAATATGAGATTTCTTTTAAATATGAGACTTTTTACTTGCCATTTCCTTTTTACACAATAAACAAACTTTCTCTAGCCAATTAGTTCTTTAAGATTTAAATAAAATTCAGGTAGCTCAGTCTTAAGACAAGTAATTAAATTAAGTCACATCTGATATTAAGGATGAGACAGATGTCTTTGTTTCAGTAAGGTAATTACTGACAGAAAGAAAAAAACATTAATTCTTTTAAAATAGGGTTTTAAATAAAGTATCTTATTTGATAAGGACTTCTCAGGAGCAAATATCATAATGTATTTTGTTTTCTTCATTACTAGTATCTGAATGATATACATATATCACAAATAACAGTAGCAGTTGACTTTGATATGCAGTTTTTAAATTTTTTTATAATGGTAAATAAAATCCTCACAGCATCAGGCATGTGCACATTTGTTCTTCACTTGTCTACATCTGCTTTTTCCACATGAAAGCACCAATTCCACATTCTTGGGAGCAGAGCTTTGGTTCTTGCAGAACTCACTAAAGTGTTACACTAAGCATGACCTCACCTCCATTAGCTAATGCCTAGCTGAATACATAGTATTCTGGGGTGGTGATCTCATCTTAAAAGGATCACAAAATTTCCTAAGGGAAATAGTTATTACCCTAAATGATAACAGGTCTTCAAGCTTTTAAAACATTTTCATTTGTCAAAGCATGAAGAGGAAAAATATACAAAAGGAGTTTAAAAAATATATCCTAGTATAGCAATGGACTAATTAACACTAATTATTATTATTTTTTTATACTGAATAAGTGCAACTGCATCATTTCAGGATGTTGATGAAGCTCTAAGCAGATCAAACGACATTATATGGCCACCTGGAACTCAGATCTTAGCATTACATCTCTGGTTCCCAGATCCCTCTAACACTTGCCACTGAAGTCACAACAGTCATACTTTTAATATTTAAACATTTCAAGTTTTGTTTTCCAAAAGAGAGTTAAGGTTTTAATGCTGTTTCTATTTATACTGTCTCAACCAATTAAAGGGACTATTGTACATTGAATACAAAATAAATTATTTACAGAATTAAAGGAGAGAATAAAAATTTCTAATATTGAAATTTCTATACTAATCTATAAATTATTAATGATACAGAGGGGGGAAAAAAACCTGTCACTAAAGAATGAGTAGTTTGAAAGTATGTCTCTAGTGGATTTCAAAATGAGGTATTAAACTAGTATAATTAGTTCCAGAGATTCCTAATCAGCTAATCTGTCACCCTGTCCTATACGGAAACCTTGAGGTGTGGGATGAAACCTTGTCTCTGCCCTAAGGGCTTTTAAATCTCAAAGTGAGACATAAGAATCTACACTGCTTATTACTTTTATCTCCATGAATATTAATACTTTTAAAAAAATTATAAATAAAAGTTTAACAAAATAGGAAGAAAGAGAAATAGGACAATTCCATATGTGATTTTACTGTATGCAGTGTTATGTTAACAGTTCCTATTACTACTGGTTCCTATGGGCCAGATCCTGAGCTAAAAAAGTACAAATGTAATTACAGTTCATCCATCCAACAACACTCTTGAGGCATTATGATCCCCATTTTCCAGTTCAGTTGGAACTGTTAGGCTTGGAAAAATTAAGCAACTTGCCCAAACTTTTAAGTAGTAAAACTAGTACTCAAACCATGAACTCTCTGACTTGAGAGGGAAGATTCCCACTATTCCTATTTAGGACCATACAGAAGTGATACTACTATTGCAATTTCAAGAAAGGAACCAAAAGTCCATAACCTCAGACGCTCTAAATAAGATGAGATAAACAACATAAATAAGATGACAGGAGATGACTACAGAGATAATGAAATAGCATATAGTGCATTTACTTCAAGTAATGAAGAAGATGGGAATGTCGGTTATGAAGTTTCTCATATAAGTAGGCAATTCACTTGCAAAATAACTGGTTTTATGTTAAGCATTCAGTAAAAGTAATTAAGACACATTTTCTATATCTTTATTTGCCTCTGGCATCTATGGGTAACACCAATGGTTAAATATTGGTCTAATAACTGATTGGTTGGGAGCTCAAACCCACCCAGAGACACCTTGGAAGTAAGGCCTTGTGATCTGCTTCCTGAAACCTTTAAGAAGCAGTTCTACTCTGCACATTCCGATTAGACTTGATGGCAACTAACAACATTTTCCTCAAAAGGAAAGGTAAAGCTTTTCTAGTATGAGCTCCAAGGACATTACACTTCTGTTAAAGAACCTGAAAAATACTAGGATTCTATTTATTACCTATTAGAGCAGGCAAAGTCTCAAAAGTAGTCACATTTCCAAATTTAGTAAGTGAAACTGAAAGTATCCTTTTCACAACAGTCAGAATAAGAAAAAGATTTAGGTGTACTGTACTACATATATTATTAAATTTGTTTTCTCCATCTGGTCTCTCAATTTCTTTTGAACCTTAAAAGAGTTATCAAACTGGACACTGCCAGTGGGCCTGGCCTGGTAAGTCAATCTTTGAATATTTCTTATGTAATTAAGGTGAAAACAGGTAAATAAGCAATTAAATTAAACACAAATTACAAGTAAGTTCAGTACTGCCATAAGAACAAATAAAACCATTCCTCAAAACTCAAAATCATTTGGAGGAAAAAAAAAAGGGGGGG